CTGCTGGAGCATTGGAGTGTCCTTCTATACTATATTTGGAGAGAACACAATGCCCATTTGTTTAACAGCTATAAGCTGGAGGAGATGGAAATCGCCTCCGCTGCAGCCACAATGTTAGTTGAGTGCCACACGAGACAAGAGAAGGAGATTAGCGTTCAGACTGTGGCCCCTGTAAAGCATTGGATCACACCCCCAAATGGTAGAGTAAAGATTAATTCGGACGCGGGCATACTACCAGAAGGAGGAGCAGGTAGGGGATGGCAAAAATATCTGTAACCGTGGATATCCGCCCGAACCCGACCTAATCGGGTAGGGTAAAACCCGAACCCGAAGGACATTTAGTGGGTACGGATAAAACCCGAACCCGAATATTGAGGGTAATGGGTGGGCATGGGTTTTAATTTTCTACCTGTTTCATATGTGGGTATGGGTATAGATAAAACCCGAACTACTTTGGGTAGGGTAACGGATATGCACTATCCGTCCCCGATCCGACCCATTGCCATCCCTAGCAGGGCTTGGTGTAGTAGCGAGAGATGCAGCAGGGTGTTTTCTTTTTGTAGCAGCAAAGAAAGTAACAGGTATTTATGACCCTGATGATGCCGAAGCTTTGGCAGTCAAGCTTGGTGTGCAGATGGCAACTCAACTCAACCTCATGAAGATGGAGATGAATTGCTTGAATCTTGTGACAGATATCACTCAGGCCGAGAGCATTAGATCGGAGAAGGGAGTTGTTTGTCGGAATATCCGGAGATTGCTTGGTCAATTGGGCGACGTCACGTGGCAATATGCTCCGAGGGAAGCAAACGCTGCAACGCATATAAAGGCGCATATGGAGACTATTTGGAACGAAAGATCATCGTGGATTGATAGGCCTCTCATCATTTTATTAGATCAGCTAAAGTTGGACAGTGTAACCTTCCCTACTGATTAATGGAAGTTCTACAGATTCTCAGTCAACAAAAAAAAAAATTGCTCCGAGGAAGTTGAGAAGGCATTTTCCACATAAAATCAAATAATGGGGAGGGGAAATTTGGCAGAATTTTTTTTTTTTTTTTTACAATGGCAAAAAATTATGAATATATTGTTTTAGTCCCAATCAAAACTGCAGTTTAGATAGTGACCGAAAGGTCATTATCGGCGTTCATTATATAAATTATCGCCGGCCGCAAAAAAAACTACATTCATTCATTGATCATTATTCCCATCCCATGTATTATTTATTAATTGATTAGGTTAAGATTAGATTAGGTTAGTCCATGCATGCATATGGTCACACGATGAGTTAGCTAGGTAGGTTCATTTCTATAGAGAGAGGTTCTTTATTTGTACAAAAACGGAAAGAGTTTGAATAATTTTTTAAAGGCCAACAAATATGTGTTTTCAATGAATTTGATGTTTTTATAAAAAAAAATTAATTTGATCAGGGACGAAGTCAGGATTTTTGCAACAGTGGGCCAAAATCGAATAATTGTACGCATTTCTTTACTTCGTAAAAATGAGCAAAAGTGATATATAAAATTTAAATTTTCATGGTAAGATTAAGAAATTTATTATAAATTTGTTAGAAAATTTATGTTATTTTCACAATTCAAAATGCATATTTGCTAATAAACCTAGATTTTGAATGAATCAAAATAAAGTAAGATATCTAGCGGTACAAATAATAAATACTAAAGGAAACGAGATTCAAATTTAAAAATGGATACTAAAATTTTTTCAGAACTTTTCTCTAATGTACATTAGATATTATATGAAAATTCTCTCTTTTAATTTTTAGTAGGCAAAAAAAGAGTGAAATAATAAATATTTAATGCAAGTTCTCTTAAAATTTGTTGAAGGGTTCTACCAATTTTTTTTTTGAAGGGTAAGAGTGAAAACTGAAAAGTAAAAATGAGAAAGAAAATGTCGCAGGGATTGAACTTGCTTCCTTTTGTTTATAAAGAGACACAACCTTTACCACTAGGCTACGATCAAATGATGATCCAGTATGCATACTCTTTATAATTTGTAAATTCGCGGGGGCATGGCCCCCCAAGCCCTAAGCTGCCTCCACCCCTTAATTTGAAGGAGCAACGAAATTGGAGATTAATTTTTAAGTCCAAGGAGATTAATTTTGAAAGCACATAGTGCATATCTATCGACTTACTGAAAATAGTTTAGGTTTTACATACTCATACCACATAAGAATTGGGTAAGAAATCAAAATCATGCACCTATCTTATCAGATTTTGGGTTTCCATAGATAATGATTTTTCTTCATAATTTCAGCCAACATGTCAACAATAAAAAAATATAATAACATGACTTAAATGAAAAACATTTAACAATAAATCACTAGGATAGAGAAAATTAGTTAAAGAAAACACAATTTCATGAACAAGTATATATGTATAGGAAATATCAAATATGATGGGAAAACGATAATTTTTAGACAAAATACATACACATATGTAAAAACGGATAAATTCGGATTGGATAACAAGAAAATCATGTTCACCAATTATCCGCAATATTCGAATTTTAATTTTACTCATACCCATTAAAAAATTTGCTATCAGATTTTACACTACTCAATTAGATCGAATTTGGGCAAATATCCACGAATATATTTTTTTCCGTTTTTCAAAATAAAATAAATAATATTCTAAACTTTCAGATTTGTTTATCTAGACAAATAAAGCCGAAGAATAATCAAGAAAAACTTCATGAGCATCTTCATTGTATGGGTAAAAGTCGGTGCAATACTTGCACAAGTTCATGGCATACAAGGCCAGGAATCTTTCTGAGATTTAAGTTTGAGAAAGAAAGATGGCAAAATTAGCGAGAGCGTTTGAGAATGTTGTCTTCTATTGTATATTGTTTATACTTGATTACATTGAAGTGATTTGGGCTCTAAGTCTAGGACTTTCAACTGTTGATTAATGGATCGAATTATCAAATTACATTATCAATTGTTATATTTGTTTTTTTTTTCAAGGAAAGCCCAAAAGGCATGAGACAAATACAGACTCGGTTACAAGGAGGACTCTAAAAAATGTGATAATCCGTAAGCAAGTGGATTCCCGATGAAATAGCTTGTTCAACCACTATATGAGCCGCTCTATTAAAGCTCTGAAAAGCAAAATGACATGACACTGACTCAAAAAACGAGAAAAATGAATGAACTTCCTCCAAGACAGCCCCTGCACGAGAATGTGAAGTGTTCTTTGCCATAGCGTGCCTGATAACCAATTGAGCATCTCCACAAAATGCAACCATCAAAAAATTATGTGTTAAGCACCATCTCATAGCATCTCTAAGAGCTAGAAGTTAGGCGATGTAAGCCTCCGAAATTCCTTCATAACATTTACCAAAAGTATAGGATAACATACCGTCGCTTGAGAATCCAACAAATTTGATTGAGCCTCCTTGGTTTTTTTCATGGCTCCGTCAAATCTAACCAGGATACCATTGTTAGGGCATGTGGCATCTGAATGGCTCCTTCGAGATCCTGTTGGATTGCTAGGATGTGCCGATGATCTCTGTACACCTGTGGATTGCCGAGCTTTCTGTCCCTCCGTTGTTTGTCATTCCTCTATTTGCGCTGTTAGTTGTCGAAACAAAACTTGAGTTTGAAATAATACCAAAGCATAAGTAGCTTTGCATCTTCCTTTCCAAATTCACCAGAATACGAAAAAATGTATCGACAATCTCGTTTTTTGAAAATGTGAGTAGCGCAGAATAGATTTTTCATGGCATATCTGATTGGAAGGAGCACATTAAGTTTCTACGATGTTATAATCCACCCATAATCTATAACTCCTTTGCAATCCTACATTCAAAAAAAGCAATGAAGTGAGGTTAAATTATAACTTATAAGCATATGAAGTGAGGAAATAACATACTGAACAAACTTGCAAATAAACATGTTTGTCTATGTGCCAAGCCACCCACGATCCACTCTACTATTATATGTTAATGCAATCAGATACTCTTAAGCATTCCTATTCATTTCTTTGCATCGTCCTACACACTCAACACACAAACTTTTACTTAATGACTCGTAATATTAAAGATGAGATTCAGTCTAGTAATGCCATTAGATGCCTCTTTGTTGATCCATCAGTTGAACAAGGTAAACATAATCCAAAGTATATCTATTTGTAGAAAATACACATACCTACTCTTGTGTTTGGAGTTGTTATGTGCCAAGCCACTTAGATCCACTCGAATACCAGATATTAATGCCTGATACTCTTAACGATTCCTACTCAATTCCTTGCATCGTCCTACACATAAAAACATATTAAAATGAAACTAACATTGCAAACTTCAAATGAACATAACATCCAATAAACTAAAAGAGTGCATGAATGACGAAGACTTCGTAATGACCTACCAACCATCACTCAGGCCTATTGAACTTGGATCATTCATATAGTCCCTTCTGGACTGACGATGCAACTGGTAGCAAAAACCAAGTGAAAAAAGACTTAATTTCAACATCAAAAGATCACTCCCAAGTGAAGTCCTAAAATGCTAAATCTTATAAGAGCAACCAAAACAAAAAGTCTTAACAACATTGACCTAAGAATGAAATCCATTTTTGAGCTGGGCCTATAATCTGGGCCTTATCGTAGAAGATCTACCCGAGCCCAAGTCTATCAGACCCATGAGCAAGGTTGTCAAACCGCGGGTCGACCCGGACCCGGACGAGCTAGTGGGTCATGGGTCAATGGATCACCCGTTTTAGCCTGGTTTAGCCCGGAAATATGAAAAGAGCCAATATATTCTATTTATCCTGAATCCAAAAAAAAATGCAACACTACTTCAACTACAACACACTTAAATAACATCAACTTAAATTCAACATAGTAAAAATTCAACAACACTCAAATCATTCACATAAAATCAACTTAAATCCATCATAGTTAAAAATTCAAGAACCCTTAAATCCACCACTCTTAAATCCATCACATAAAATCCACTTAGAATTCCAAATAACAAAAGAAAAGTACTCAATCTTCAAATATAAAGCTATCCATCTCCATCTCCATTGCATCAACAAGATGAGAAATGTCGAAGTCAATTTCATCAGTAATATCATACTCAAAGTCCTCTGCATCAAAACGTGAAATCAAATATTCATAATTATTACCAATTAGAAGATAGTTATTATAAGAATAGACTTTTCTATAGTTTCTATAATAGGCAAACCTTCAACACGAAGACGCTTGTTGGAAGATGATGATGATCCTTGCTCCTCCTCCTCCTCCTCCTCATAAAGAGTCTTTTCGAGCTCTTCATAGTCTATATCTGCAGGTGGATCTTCTTCTACAATCCAAAAATCAATGTTATCTAATTTTTCATAATCAATTGGGTCTTTCGCCCACTCCTTCTTCAAGCACCTACAAGTCAAAGAAGATTAAACAATTAAGTATATGAATATGAAGTGTTAATAATTTTACAATGTTGTATACAATTTAATCATTACCTATTCTTCAACCTCAAATTGTAAGTCACATAAACAAGATCATTCAATCTTTGATGTTCCAATCGATTCCTCCGCTTACTATGAATTTGGTCAAACACACTCCAGTTCCGCTCACATCAAGAAGAAGATGATGTTTGAGACAAAAGTCGAATAGCTAGCTTCCTCAAATGTGGAGCATCTTCTCCAAATAGTGTCCACCATTCAGCTTTTCATTCAGGCAAATTATTATAAATAAGTATATAAACTTCGAAAACATTGTAAGCTTATAACTAAATATGTAACAACTAACAAGTAATTAGAATTGATTACCTGGAGGTATAGTGGAAGTACACGAGATAGCTGATTTCTTCCCAAAGTTTCCAAGCCTATCTCTAAAAAGTCTAATCTCTTGCATTGCTTCTTCTACATTATCACATAGGCCTTCAGTTTCAAGAAGATCAATAAGACAAGTTTGCAAACCACGCTCCTCTCGAGCTTCCTGAGTATATTGAAAAATCGGGTTCAGATAATAAGCACCTCCATAGATGCTATATCAAAGATGCTTATCCCATCTAGCATCAATTAACTTCAAATATACATCAGCCCCTCTTCCATTGCCCATAAAAGTGTTCTTGATAGTCTTCTTTATCCTCATGATTCCATCATGCACATACCCCAAAGATGGTTGCTTATCAGAATCAACAATCCTCAACAACTTCACGATTGGCAATGTCAACTTCACAATCACTAAACAATCCTGCCATAAATTGTTATCCAACACAATTGACTTGATGTGCTTCCCCTCTTTAGACTTTCCCAAATTTTGAGATGTAAAGAAGCTACTTGTAACAAGTTGTTCCAACAGTGGCCTATGATCATACACACTTTTCATACATATGAAGCTTGTAGCAAATCGAGTAGCTCTTGGACGCACAATCTGTTTCCAACCCTCTAACTTTTTCAAAAAAGCTAAGATGGGAAGATAACTATAGACAAACACACTGATCTTCTGAGCTCGTCAAACCAAGTTTCACACATGTTTCATCTTGTAAATATCTTTCAACAAAAGATTAAGAACATGTGCAAGACATGGAGACCAAAAAATGCTCTTATACTTCTCATGAATTCTTCTTCCCGCAGCAACATAATTAGGAGCATTATCTGTGACAAAATGCACAATATTCTTTGGCCCAATCATGTCAATCACACCACCAAACAAGTCGGCCAAAGTGCTTGCATCCTTAACCATGTCAGATGCATCCACGGATTTCAAAAAACAGACACCTTTTGGACAATATACTAGAAAATTAATCAATGATCTTTGACTCATATCCGTCCAACCATCAGCCATCAAAGTGCATCCAGTAACTTCCCAACTCTTGCGATAATCATGTATGATCAATGTGCATTCTTCTTTGACATCTCTCAACAAAGGAACTCTAAGCTGATGATAAGAAGGTACCTTATATCCAGGGCCAATAGCAATTGCTGCATCAAATGCCATTTGGTAAAATTCAGAGTGTGCAGCATTGAACGGCAGCTTAGCATGATAAAACCATTTAGCAACTATCATGTCTGCATTTTTCTTTGCCTCTTTTTCAGCAAAAGCACTTCGAATTCCAGGTTGAGCTCCTGGTGTTGTTCTTGGAGCAAAGAAACTTGGTTGAGGTTTTGATATTGTTGAGCTTGTGTTGATTTGCTCATCCGACTCATCAACATCTTCACTTTCATTTCGCTTCCTTGACCCAACTTTTGGTCTAGCTGACTCATCAAGCAAAGCCCTAAACCTCACTTGAATATCATGAGTAACTTGTGGGCAAGGACTACCGTCACCTTTTCGTCCAGCCAAATGTTGCTTCACCCTGTTAATCCTTCCGCCTTTAATCACATGGCTACACAACAAACATTTATGCCACATTTTTCCGGTTTCTGAGATGATTCGCTCGGCCTAATCCCAAGCTGGATCCTTCTTTTGTCGATACCCACTACGGGCAGCATTGCTACCAACTAAATAGCTTGCAGATTCACTAATTCAACTGCAACTCATGAACATGGCCAAGAACAACAAAAAAAAACTAACAGACTGATCATGAATTAAAATGTTAGGGGCTTGCCAAAATTGCACAGTAAGAAACGTTGGCATTTACCAAATCTGCAACCAATGGACCATATGTCCTCTGCAACTGATTAGTGGGTACCTCCTAAGAGAACTTTAGGAGCTGTAGCAACAAAAATGAGAAGAGAAGGATGTCCCTTTTCAGCCTTACCTCTTTTGTGTACTTCTTAACAAGAATAGTGAATGCACGAGCTAGTTGCAACCATAAGCATATACTTTTATCCATCAGCAGACTGTGGACTTAAGAGTTAAAATCCCTACACAGGAGAGCAACCACACGAGAAGGCATTAACAACCATTAGTAAAAGAGCATAATGAGATTAAACAAACATTTCGAGAAAGGGTTTGAAATACCTCTGCATGATTCCAAACCCGTGATAGAATGCAACTTCTCTACACAATTTTTTTTATGAAGGTGAAAATCCATTACCAACAAAATATGCCAGAGGTGTACAGGAAAAAGAAACAAAGTTTAACAAGATCAAGAAAGGAATCCATCGGAAACAACAAATGGAAAGGAAATCATAGAAGGCCACGAATAAGACCACCCCGGAAATAACCCAAGAAATTGCTTCCCAAGAACATCAGACGAGGAACAAAGGGCATCTACCCGATGCCACCTCATGACAACATCATCCTTACTCAATCGATACATCAAGCTCTGAACATGGTATGATAGAAAAGTGGAATTAATTACCAAATAGAATTCCTCTACAGAATCCTTGAACTTAAGGTTTCCAAACATCAAAGCGATAGGTGTATAACCTTAGAAGAAAAAGAATCATCATGGAACAAATAAAGGATTTAATAAAATAAAATAAAAACAGGTGCAAGGAAATCATTGTAGAAGAACAAGAATTCAGAGAATCATAACGCCAATTGCTTAAACCCTTACACCCAAACCTTGTCATTCGTCGTCAATGCAAATATCAACCTCGATCTCGCTCTCCTCGAAACCCCCAAATCATTATCGTTTGTAAAACCTAATTTTTACATGAAAGAAACATCAATCCTCGGGATCTGATGGAACTAGGGGGAAATGAGGCAAAGTGAGTGGGAAGTGGGTGAAGCCAATATAACCCTAAAATCAAAAATACACTTGTGGATTGGTGATCGAATCAATTTGATCATAGAGGACGTAAGAAAGATGACGAGGAATACCGTCGGGTGTATAAATCAGAAGAACAAGAACTGAGACGGGAGTTATTTGATAGTGGTGAACGGAATAGTAACGGCGAGAAGGAAAGAAACACGGCGAGGAGAAGGCTTGACAAGGAATTCTAGAGAAGTCGGGAACTGATTACTGTGCGAAACTAGGGGTCGAGGGCCGTAGGCGTAGGGCGGATAGAACAATGAGGACATGAGGGGCAGGATAAAATAAAATACAAAGGGAATAAATAATAACTAAAGTTCCCATCTTTAAAAATAACAAAGAATGCCTTGTTCTTTCTTTCTTTCTCTTCGTTTTAGTGGCAATTTTTTTTTGCATGTAATCATATAATACTTTTATTGGCAATTCAATATGCCTCTAGTATTTTTCCCATCAACGAGTTTCCGTAAACGGCCCCTAAAATAATAACTTACATATAACTTTAAAATAAAAACAAATGAATTAGAGACAAATGATATAACTTTTAAAGGCAAATAAGTAAATTGTCGCTATATACAAAGTTTTAGGGGCTGATATATAAAGTGTCGCCACTATTAGCCGCTAAAGCTCATTTTTCTTGTAGTGACCACATGAGCAATAAATGAGTTATTGGACATTACAAATACCACATTGACAATTAATCCATCCAAACGACCCCTAAGTATTGCTTTTGTTGCATGTTGACCACCTATTTATTTAGTTGCAACTAAATCATATAACTTCGCACATAGTTGTACCAATATATTTTCTGTTTCCAAACTTAACGGTAGTATCAAAATGTAATTATTCACTGTTATATTTTGAGTTACATGAGGAGCCACTTTTATCCCTCTTTCACCTGGGGGGAAACTTTTGAATCCAAAAATTCTTTATTTAGAGCCTTACACAAATGTCATTCATCAAATCCGCGATATCAAGAAATATATATATTTGATATCGCGAAACAAATACCGACCTGTGATGCCACTAATTTATTCAAGTTCAACATCCCCCAGAAGGAAGCGGGTTGGATCCGGTGCTTAAGCCTATAGGTTTAAGCAAATGCTTAAACTATTCCTATTGGTTGATAGTGGATTAGGTAGTTAGTGGAAGGTAAGTAGTTAATAGGTAGTTGAGGGTAAATTTGGTATTATGTAAATATAATGATTATAATTAATATTATCAATTAATGTTTCTCTTTCTCTCTCCCGACCTTCTCCATAACCCTCTCTCTCCACTACAATTATAATTAGAATGGAAATTCATAATTAATACAATTAAATATTATTATTTAGTATTTAATAAAACAAGAACATAATATTTGTCCCTTTTTAAAATGGAAATTGAAAATTAAAAAATATCCGCTCTCTCACACTTCGTGGTAACTTGCAATATAGTATTAACATTTTGCAATAACATTATCAACGTTTATGAAATGAATTATTTATTACTATACATTGTAATTATCAACAATTCTAATATACTTATCAATTCATTACAATTACATTATTAACAATTTTGGAAAAATTGTTACCCTTTTTTCAATTTTGTCATCAACGCTTATGACTGAATCATTAAAGTTATGTAACATTATCATTAATAGTTTGAATAACAATATCATTAATTTACAACCTCTTTACTTATGATTCACATTTTCACGTCAAGTTTATAATTTTCTCATCATGGCCCTCTTCCAAAGACTTTCAATGACATTGTTAACATTTTGCGATTAATTGATATCTCTTTAAATTATCGTTCTCAATGATCATAAAGCACAATATTGATTTTCAACATCTTCAACACTTGTGACATAGTGCACATGTGACAATGTAAAGAAAAATAGTAGTTCAAGCAAACCAACATTCACACATGTGCACTAAACTTCTAATAACAATACAATAAATCCTTGATAACGAAAAACTATTTCCTTGAAACTAAACCCAAAACATCAATAAAGTCCGACTTAATTTTAATTATCAAATATCATCCAAAGTGTTCATCAAAATGTTGTTTTTCGTTCAAATCTAAAACAAAAACGTTAAAAATGATAGGCTTTGATATAAAAAATGACATCAGGGTTTTAATAATGATATTCAAAACCATTAATAACAAATGAGGAAATCACTGATAAGAAAATAAAAGTTCATTGAAAATAAAAGAAATTATTATTACTATTCAGATGCAATGTTTAATGTCAAATACCGCTAAAAACGTATTAATAAAATATTCGGTCAAGCTATAAAAAAATACTAAAAATGTTAATAACTAACATGTGTTTCCTGGATCTTGATGAGGAGATTGTTGTGCAGCCGCAAGAGGAGATGCACAGTCGGAAGGTTGAAGGGGAGAGGGGAAAAATTTTCCTTGAAACAAACCGAGGGCGGAGAAAATGTATAAACCCTAACTAAATATATTACGTTAGATTTCAAAATAATTAAAATCTCCTAATGCCCTAATTACCCTTTAACCACCGACTAACAACTAACATCCATAGATTAACTAATTTCCTATAAGCCAATAGGAGAAGTTTAAGCAACTGCTTAAGGTTTTGGATTTAAGCACCAGAACCCACGCCTCTGCATTCCGTTTCTCTTATTTATGTCCACAAAAAAGTAACCATTAATAATTAATTCATTTTATTTTCAACCAATAGTGTGGCAGCATGTGGAAGGGTAGCAGACTAGCAACAACTTATAATAGCAGCTAAATTTCACGACGTTGATTTCACCCTTTCATATGGTTTACCCAAAGTTTGAAAATAAATGAGAGGTTGGATAGAAGCCTATGCAACTTATAATGACAACAACAATTTGGACTTTGCTACGGTGACATGCATGTTACGATAATATGCACTTTTCCGTCGACCTCATATAGGATCAGGTCGACCTAATATGTTGTTTCAGTGTAAAAACAGTTTCATGGTGCCTACTTTGGAGATTCATATCTTACAATTGGCTAGATGGAAATTGGAGATTAAAGGCTTGTTTTGAAGCTGAAGTGTCCCTCTACATATTAAAGTACTTGGAATCTCAATAGAAAGTCCAGAAGACCATTTTTGAACATGACCAAAAGGCTATGCCAAAACTGGGAAACTGCCTGAAAATGGCTAAGTCTGGCAACGTATTTGTCAAGCCTACTTTGGAGCTCAATTTGAGAAGCATGGATGCGAGTCAAGTCCAGGGGCCTTTACCACGTTAAATTACGTATCTTTTTTATATAAAGGCAATTGGATGAAAGATTGGATATCTGTAAGGCTTCAAACAAAAGGGTCGAAGTTGCTACCAAGGCTGCCTTGGTAGCAACTTCGACCCTTTTGTTTGAAGCCTTACAGATATCCAATCTTTCATCCAATGCCTTGAATTTGTATAAAAATATACCTAATTTAATGTGGTAGAGGCTCCTGGACTCGACGCGCATTCATGCTTCTCGAATTGAGCTCCAAAATAGGCTTCACAAACACGTTTCCACACTTAGCCATTTCTAGGCAGTTTCCCAGTTTTGGCATAGCCTTTTGATGAGGTTCAAAAATGGTATTCTGGACTTTCTATCGAGCTCTCAATCACTTCAATATGTAGAGGGACACTCCAGCTTCAAAACAAGTCATTAGTATTCAATTTCCATCTAGCCAATTGTATGATATGAATATCCAAAGTAGGCACCATGAACTGTTTTTACACTGAAACAACAGATTAGGTCGACCTGATCCTATATGAGGTCGGCTGAATCCTAAATGAGGTCGACCAGATCCTATATGAGGTCGACCGAATTCTAAATGAGGTCGACCTAATCCTAACTGAGGTCGACCGGAAAGTGCAAGTCATCGTGACATGCAAGTCACCGTAGGCACACCCCAACAATATTCCTCGACCAACAGAATCCATCTTACCAAGTTGAACCTTATCATAGACCCATTTTAACCTGCACTTCAATCCATAGTAGAAAAAAATAAACTTGTGAAGAGATGCCACATGACTAGTCCATGAGAATTTATCCCTCTTCTTTCTTTTGCTTGGAATTTTGATGGCGATTTTCCTCTTTTGCAGTGATATTTTCGAAAGAGAGGTCAAGAAATGGATTAGGAAAGTCTTCAAAAAGATCTTCAAATGGAAGAGAGAGCTTCTGGACAACCTGAAATCTCTGAAACTGCTCGATGAGAGGAATCCCCGTAGAAACTCAAGATGGGGAAGTCTTCGAAAAAATCATCAACGGGAAGAGAGAGCTTCTGAATTTATCTCAGGTATTTTCCGATCATATTCTGGTATTACTCCGGATCATGTTATAGTTGGTACAGTTTTTAACCAAAAAAATATTTTATTATTACAAAAATAGTATTTATCAATACAAAAAAGTTGAATTACGGTTGTACCACGAAATTTCATACACATATGAATCCAGTACGTAACTTTCGATAATGTTTCTAAACCATGATAATTGTCCTCTAACTATTCATATATATAAATATGAAACTTGGTTACAATTGCCTAATTATTTGCATTTTGATACCCAAATTTAATTAAATCACAACTTAGTCATTATAATGTAAATTTTAAATTTTGATAACCACAATTTAATTTTAATATAAAATCATTGAACAATTATGTTTTGGTATCTAAATTTACATATCGGTCCAGTGTTTAGATTTCGCTTGAGTCCATGAATCCAATCCACCAATCATTTTGAACCAATCCATGAATCCAATCCACCATAACATAAAAGTATAAATTTAATTTGTACAATACAAGAGAGACGACTCTAAAATATTAAAAGAGAGAATTTATAAATTCATTTAGTACATTTATGGGTTACTAAACAAACTTCTACTAACTACATGTATTAATATATATAAATGTGAAGCTTGGTTAATGTTGCCTAATTATTTGCATTTTATACCCCAAATTTAATTAAATCATAACTTAGTCACTATAATTTATATTTTACATTTTGATACCCAAAATTTAATTTTAATATAAAATCATTGAACAATCATGTTTTGGTATCTAAATTTACATATCGGTCCAGTGTTTAGATTTCGCTTGAGTCCATGAATCCAATCCACCAATCCTTTTGATCCAATCCACCATAACATAAAAGTATAAATTTAGTTTGTACAATACAAGGGAGACGACTCTAAAATATTAAAAGAGAGAATTTATAAACTCATTTAGTACATTTACGGGTTACTAAACAAACTTCTACTAACTACATGTAATAAAATATGCGACATCTACATAAGCAAGTGTCAATAAATTGCTTCGGTGAAAATGGTTGATTGTTGTATTGACGTTCAACTAAAAGAATTGGTCAAAACATTTTCATCATCTACTTCCTCTTCGTTTCATTTTTCAATTGTCTTCCATAACCCTTTCTTTATTTCATTATTTGCCTTCTTCGTCTAACCCTAATTAGTATACTATTTTTATGTATTCTAATGACAATTATAAATATATATGGTTATTACTTATTAGAAAGTCGTCATTTTCCATTATGGAATTTGAGGGCGTCGAATTTTAATCGAGTTCCAGTTTGTATTCCTTTTGCTTCTCTCTATAGTTTTTCTTTTTCACCCAGACTAGAATTTTCAAAACTTATACATGAAATATTTGGCTAGGTATCTACACATATCAAATAAACAGTTTTCATTTTTTTATTAAAAAAAGTATATAGCTATCATCTTAAATACATCAACATAAAAGGAATTAAGCCTCAACTATGCAAATTACAGTTTTATACCTAAACTTAATAGATCTTTAGATTTATAACCTAAATTTTATTTTGGCATATAAGTCCTCAAAATGTTGATGGAACATTACATATTAGTACCTAATTTTTTGTGTATTACATTTTGATACCTAAACTTTTAAAGTTCTACAAATAGGTTTAATTTTTGTTATGTGTAATTAAAACACTCTCGAATAAATGGGTATCCATACACATATCATACACATTTTGATTATGGAATTAAATATTCAAACCCTACCCAAACCCATCTATAAACTTCCAAACCCATATATATGTCACCCATACCCTACCTATAATCAATGGGTCTACTCGGATTTAGGTAAATATCATTTACTAGCCAAAATTTTCAAAATAAATTACAATTGGATGTTGACCGCTATATATCTCTTCTCAGTCAATATCATATGGTCAAGTCAATATTACTAACAAAATTGTTAATAAAAAATTAATTTTAGACTAATAATACTAACTAAACACCATAACGGGGCACATAATACATGCACATAGGACATCTTCACTCCGCGACAAGGCGCACCATTGCCACCTAGTTACTATATATAAAGGTGAAGTGCAATTATTATTGCATAAAAAATTACTAATTAGTCACTATGTAACAATTCACATTTTGATGCCCCAAATTTAATTTTAATGTAAAATTATGTTTTGGTATCTAAAATTTTATGAGATTTTTGTACCTACAATTTTTTTAATTTACATATTGGTCTAATGTATAGATTTCACTTAAATCCATGAATCCAATTCATCAATATTTTTGAACCAATCTATGAATCCAATTCACCATAACATACAAGTATAAATTTAGTTTGTAACAAACAAGATGTTCGTACCTACAGTTTTTTAAATTTACAGATTGGTCGAATGTGTAGATTTCACTTGAATCCATGAATCCAATCCACCAATCCTTTTGAACCAATCCATGAATCCAATCCACCATAACATATATACAAGTATAAATTTATTTTTGTAACATACAAGATGTTGTATCACTCAACTGTCGGAGAAGATAAGGTCATTTAATATTTGCTCATTACGCGAAATATTAAAAATAATCCAAATTAGTATACTATTTCTATGTATTCTAATCACAAGTATGAATAGATCCATACTTAAGACGCCTCACCAACGGTCTAGAGAATTAATAATTGAACCATTATCAAGTGTGATCTCTTGCGTCTGTACAGGTCTATTTTGTTTGGTAATAATAGTTTATCGCCATTATAAAAAAAAATTGAACCATGAACCACTAACTTTTTCAACTCAATGTCGAGTCCAATAAAAATAAATATATATGGTTATTACTTATTAGAAAGTCGTCATTTTTCACTATGAGATTTGAAGGCGTGAAATTTTAAGCGAGTTATAGTTGTATTCCTTTTGTTTCTCTCTAGAGTTTTTCTTTTTCACCCGGGCTAGAATTTTCAAAAATTATACATTAAATGTTTGGCTAGGTATCTACAAGACTACAAATATTTTAGTACCTAAAATTTTTTTGTATTACATTTTGGTACCTAAACTTTTGAAGTTCTACAAATAGGTCGAATTTTTGTTGTATAATTATAACACCCTCGAATAAATGAGTATCCATACCCCGGTGCCAATGATAGTGGGAAGATGAAATTGCCGCTTTCATCCTCACACATGAGATCTGTTCCTTGTGAAGCGACGATCGGCTCCGCTCCCACCGCCTCCTACGACAGCGGCGCCATCGGTGGAGGCCCCGTTCCCTCCGCTGCTAATTTCGATGAAGAACCGCCTCTTCTCGACGAGCTCGTGCGGGGGTATCAGGTTCGTCATATCTGGAGTTTCGTGATCTGGGCACCCAGGGCTTGCACCAATCTCTTGGTGGCAGTGGCCAGAAGCGGAGAAGATCATCGTGGGTTGATTGCAGATTGAAGGAGGAGAACATTGTGGTGTTCATGTTCGACGATATCGCATTATCGCTAACAGCGAGCCCGGGAACATCATCAACCACCCGCAAGGCGACGACCTTTACGCCGGCGTCCCCAAGTTTGCTTCCGACGATGCGAATCCCGACGGCCGGCAGTTACACTTTTGGAGGCTTCAGTTTTGGGGTCCGACGGTTACAATTCCAGAGCATCGGTTACAAATCCAGAGGCGATTCCAACTGCGATCCGTTTCAGATACGCTTATTCTTTCTCTTTCCTCCCTAATTTTAATATTTATTTATTTCCATATTTATAATTCTATAATTTTTTTCCTTATCTGCTCGTAATTATAATCTTTTCATTAACTTTACTGTAAAAAAAAAAGTAAGTAATAAAAAATGTTTTTCTTTTGTCCTTGTTAGCTTTTGATTCGGAGTATCTGACTAAGCCTCAATGTCTTGTTTAAGTCCATTCGGTGGAGCTTAGTTGTCCTCCTCTATGGGCGCTTGTGTGTTTGTTTGTTTTTTAGGGGGCGCGTAGTTTTCTCTTGACCATACAAGTATCCATCCTTTATGATTCAATCTCGTGTTGTGGCGCATGCGACAAGTGGAGCGATCTTGGAAGAGATTTGTTTGGCGGTTGTATCTTTTAATTTCTTTAGTTGTACTTTTACGCAGAGGTTGTACAACAGGGCTGCCCACTTAGTGGCTTCTAATGCCCTTTCATCGACAGCTCGATATTGTGTCGACTGTCGCGTCTGGTTTTCTAGCGTCATGTAATATCTATTTCATTCCCGATCTATGACAAAAAAAAAATGAGTATCCATACCCAACTCATACACATTTAGATAATGGAAGTAAATATCCATACCCTACTCAAACTCATCTACAAACTTCCAAACCCACATATACGTCACTCATACCCTACCCATAATCAATGAGTCTACTTGGGTTAAGGTAAATATCATTTATTAGCCAAATTTTCAAAAAAAAAAAAATTGGATGTCAACAGGGGCGTAGCCAGGAATTTCACGAAGGTGGGTCGAACAGTGGAGCGAGTCTCTGTGAACGATGAGCAGCAAGCGACATCATTGACTCATATGTTGGGTATTGCTGAACAAAACAAATTAATGAAAGTTTAATCTCGACCTCGTCTTGCAAAATGAGTTTAACGATTTTTCTTTTGATGAACTCGCACCCACAAGTTCAATAATTTTGCCTGTAACTGACAAGTAAGAGACGATGTAGACGTCGAAAAACCTTTTGTTTATTATTTGATTTATTAATTCTGTCGAAAAAAAAAATTTATTTGATTGATTAATTTTGAACTAACGCGGAACATACATCTTATATAATTAGAAAAACCTAATGTTTAAACCTAACAACCGCCAAACCGTTCTAGTAAACCTACCCAAATCAGCAACATCCAAGAGACAGACTCCCAAGTCCCAATTAACTTACTAACCTACGTACTACAAATTGTTGCCTATGCACTAATAGCCCATGTCCACAACTTCATATCTGACCTAACTACTAAGCTAACCTTAATTGAGTTATTGTAAAAAACGTGTAGTAAAGAGAAGCTAATGGGCCACTAAAGTTAAACTTAAGCCCACAAGCCTAAGAGAAACTCGTATTTTTGTAGCAAGCTCAAAGAAAAATAAGGGTTAAAGACTTAAAGTGATATGTAACATGTAAGCCCACTTTCACGTCAATTAAAGTAATTTTAAAACGTTGACGTATTGATCAAACACAAAAGCAAGCTTCCTTTTTATGTTATTCGATTAAAGCAGCTACTTATACAAGTTTCGACCAAGAACAGAGTATGAATTATGAACAGAAAACAAAGTCTGCAGAACTGAAAAGCCTATTACTTGCCCAGGTGTTGCAAAACCAAGGTGGTGCAGCCGACCCACCTTGGCCTGCTCTGGCTCCGCCCCTGCCGTCATATATATCTTTTCAGTCAATATTACTAACACAAAATTAATTTTAGACTAATAATACTGACAAAATACTATAACAAACCATATAATACATACCCATAGTCCATCTCCATCCGGCGACAAGTCACGACATCGCCACGTAATAATATATATAATCTGGAAGCAATAAGTTTTAGCTGGCCATGCATTGCATGGATACATAGATTCTTTGGCCCGAGGCATGGGCAATCTTAAGTTTGTGGCAAAAGGCTGCTTTGTGAGTTGTGATCAGCCAGCTTTTTTGTCTCCGATCCCATTCATGTGCACCCGGTCGAAAGGACATTGAAAAGAGAAGGCAACAACAACCTTTGCCTAAACACGCAATGTGCCTTCAAGCGAAGCAAGCATAATATACTGTCAATATAGCCTAGCCTAGCAGATCTAAAACCAGAACACCAGATCATCATATGGCCCAGATGTCTGTCAATATAGCCTAGCCTAGCCTAGCAAACTAAATATATAATAGTGTGAGATAAGCTATTAATTATGTAATAAAATACTTTTCTGTTTTTTCCCCCATAATTCATGTACAGAGGTTTGATCCAACTTCTGCTTCAAAACACATTAAAATCGGGTAAAATATCAACTATGTTTGTAGCTCTTATGTAACCTATTTAATTAAATTCGAATTTCAAGTATAAACTAGTTAACAAAATTCCGAGAAGCACCTTTTTCTTTTCAAATATATAAAATTAATTTGATTAATTAATTTCATTTTCATCTAAAATCGTGTTAATTACTAGTCAGTTTTGTTACGGGACAAACCAAGTATTCCATCGAATATACAAGAAAAAAGACTCATATATAAATTTCCACCAAATTTCATTAATATAAATCATTTTGGAAATAAATTCATGCGGATTGTACCCAAAAGAACAATATCATAGAATTTGTCTGAACTCAGACAATTTTTTTTTTTTTGTTTGTTTCATGAACATGTTGGACTTGATTCAGCCCATGTCCCGAGCCGATTAAACACAGCAATTTTAGAGAACCAAAACATAGTAGATATATGAACCTTGATAACTTCAATATCAAGGATCGATTTAGTCACAATCTACCCAATGTATGGTATTCGAATGAAATGAAATAAAGGAACATATAGAGGAATAGATTGATCACCAAATAACATGCATGTGATAGTAAAGACTGAAGAGCAGCATCGGCCCAATTCATCTAATCCCGGCCACAACATCGTCTGATTCCCGATGGCCACACTTTGGATCCGTTTGACAGCTGATAAATGCTAGCTTGATGCTGTCATCTTTTTGGAACCTAATTATTATTATTATTATTATTATTATTATTATTATTATTATTATTATTATTATTATTATTATCCTTAACTTCCTTTATTTATTGTTTGGCCATATATAGTTAGCTTTTTAATTACTGTGCAGAAAGTTGATGTTAGCACCGTGCTAACATAATTCATTAAAAATATCATAGTAGCTGATCCATTTATGGTCATAGTTACAACTCTTTTCAACCTTCCGTCCCATGAATTATTTGGATTTCATATACAAATTACAATTTGATACATAAATTCAATAGATTTAAACTTTAGTACCTAAAATTAATCATTTTTACATATACAAATTACAAATGAATTGGTCCGTTCATATATTATGTACAAATTAAACTGCGCATACGTATTCTGTTCAGTGTTCAGTATGCAGTTCAATGCATGCATATGCAATTTCCACGGTTAAAACCTCTAAAGTTTAGCATGACCGACGGATCAACAACTTTAATTTTCACCATTAAAAAAAACAACTTTAATTTTCAGTTATATTATTTGTGACGATTTTTATAATGACCGGTGCTTTTGTAACGATCATATATAACGACCGGTCATTAATTCTTCCCCGATATGGGTCGACCGGCGTCCGGTGACCACTGTTAAAAACAAGCCCAGAATAGGAAAAAAAACAACACTCGTAGGTCGACGGTCGTAGCTAGCCAGCCATGTGCTTTTCCCCATACTTCATGATTGCTTACTAAAGCTATATAAAAAACCAAGGAAGAACAATTAAACCGTGCCCCTCCCGATCGAGAAGCAGCTTCTGTCACGGGCGAGTGGGAAGAAAAAAGATAGTTTGCCGACGTTTCTAGCCATAATCATTGCCCATATTATGGAAAGTACGTGGTGCCCGCTTAACGTAAAAAAAAATGATTTAAGTTGACGAGGACAAAGATGCAACGAACTAATTACAGACCATGTCGTAATTATTAGCAAGAAGAATTAAGCCTTGAAGATGGTGCTGTCTTTTCCACTTTCCACAGATTAGAGATCGTAACGATGATCGGTGCCACGAAAAAAAAAACCGATCCAATTAGGAATCATGAGTGCTGGATTGAGCTTGACCGGCCAACTTTAAACCCAAAGGTGGCAGCCTATAATATATTAGATGTATGTGCATGATTAGGTTACGTACCCGCAAATTTTCCATACATAATAATACAATACGGTTGTTAAATCATGTGATTAGCAAGTTTAAGCTACACTAATTAAGCAAGCCAACAATCCAGCATGCATTCACATGCCTCGTCCTAGCTAGCAAAGGTACTATAGTGAGCACATCATCATATTATCTAAAAGACTGTGTTAACAATAATTCTTCTTTACTGACAAAGAAAAAATATTAAGAACAAAAATGCTTCTTTGTTCACAAATAAAAAAAATATTAACCCAGAATAAAAATTATTTGTTATTGATAACCGACGTGGATGTGTTTATTAAGTGACTAGTGTTTTAACACGATCAACCCGTAATTTCAGAACGAATAAAATCGGCATTTGTCAGGTTATCCTGAAACCTCATTCCAGTACCAACGACAAAGTATGCGAGCCATGACAACCGGTTTAATGCGCATTTCGTCACATACCGGTCATTAGTGTGACGGATCAAACAATGGCCAATTAAAACTAATAAATATGTGATATAGTCATATAGCACACAGGTGAGTGTTGGTAAGATCAAATCAGCCATCCTTAATTTCACCTTTTAGGCAGCATATTGAAGAAGGAAGAAGAAAAAGGGAAAGCCGGCCGGTGAGGAAAGCAAGCAAAGTACAAAGATACCAGCCAAAATAATATAGGATGCCTTCGCAACGTCCGAGTTAATGAAGTCCTTTGGTTCGTTTCGATCCCCGCCCGTCACCCAATAGCTTTCTT